TGTTAGAGTTCTCTTGAGACCCTCAGAGGTTGTTCTTTTGGTGTAGGTGTGTCGAGTTGTGTAGGCTTCCTCTCGAGTTGTGTAGGAGTCGTTCTGTTGAGGCCCCTGCTCCCTGCAGCTCTTCATAGGTAGTTTTTCAAGATGTGGGGCTTTTTATGAGCTTCCTTGGTAGATAGTCTTCAGTGTAGAGTGAAGTTAGTCATTTTTTAGGCTTCCATTCTTAGAGCTCTGCACAGATAATAACACAGGAAAGTCCGTACTGTCTTCAGAGTTAAGTGTCTGAAGTTATGTCTCTTCTTGTTATAAAGAGTAATTTTGGTAGGCCCTAGCTCTCCAGAGCTCTGCTTAGACAGTATTATCATACAGACAGTATGGCTCTTAGAACCTCTTTTGTGAGAATTTCTGCCGTAGAGTGTAGTTAGGTTTCCACTTGTTTTAGAGGGTCATTTTTCGGAGGCCTCCACTCTCTTAGAGAGAGCTACTTACAGACAGCAGGACTGAAGTTGTAGGCTCTTTGAGTGCCTCTTCAGTTAACTGTGTTTAGGGCTGAGTGTCATTAGGCCTCCTCTCGTTTGAGAGAGTCATTCTTCTGAGCTACGCATCAGTATGTTGCCCTCTTGGATGAGACTGTCTCTGGTGTAAAGTGTTGTTTGGCCTCCTCTTATTTTACAGAGGCTTTTTGGTGAGGCCTCCTCTCCTAGAGCTCTGTAAAGACAGTAGCAATAAGCTTTTGAGAAGCCTTCTTGGTCTGAGTGACAACAATGAGAGTGTTGTCTCTCATTCTAGAGAGTCGTCCTGCTGAGGCCTTAGCTCCCCAGGGTTGCACACAGACAGTATTGTCAAAGTGTATGGCTCTTTGGAAATGAGGCTCTTTGATAAGACTGTCTCTGGCAGTGTGGTTAGGCCTCCTTTCGGTTTAGAGAGTAGTTTTTGCTGAGGCTTCTGCTCTTTGAGCTCTGTTTACCTTGTCTGGTTAGTGCTGTAGTACTCCCCTTGCTTTTAACCCTAACCCTAACCCTAACCCTGTAATGCAGAGTACTTTGCTTCCTTGATAGTTATATCAAGCTGAATGACTCCGTGAGCCTCCTTGATGAGCTTTTCTCAAGGTAGAGTCTGGCTAGTACTCTCCTTGCTTTAGAGCAGGGGTCAGGAACCTTTTTTGACCAAAGAGCCATTTTTTTCATTTTTGGTTAATGCATTTTCCAAAAGAGCCACAGTAAAAGAAATATATAATATTATTATTAAAGATGTTTTTTTTTTCATTAGAAAAAAAAAAAAATTTCAAAAACATTAGGCTAATTATTATGTTCATAGACAACTAAAAACAAACAAATATTTAGCAAACAAAGTTTCAATATTAATTGATTTCACTGTGAGGTTGAGTTATCAACTGATGAGCATAAATCCTCTCTGTCCATATATGAGAGAGAGAGAGAGAGAGAGAGAGAGAGAGAGAGAGAGAGAGAGAGTACTTACAGTACTTATACAGCACTTACATCTACTGTGTTAACGTGAATACTCGACTTGGCATTTTGATATATTTCTGTATTTATTTGGCCATTTAGGTGCGCAACCGAAAACAAAGGCTACCATGCTTTTTTGTGTTGTGCTCGGAGCACGCGCACAGCATCATGCCAGTAATTCAGTACTTCGCGATTGCGCTTTTAATATTTATTTTCATTATAAAGCACATCCTGCTCTTTTTTTCTCATTCCTTCATTTTTTGTTATTAATAACTTTAAACAAAAACGTCAACTGAAATCTGCGTGGATTATCAAAAATGCTACACATTTATCATGTGTCATAAAGGGTCTCTGCAGCAAAAGTGAAAGTATTAAAGCTACAATACCTAAGATTTTATGCGCTAGAGGTCGCTACATTCAAAACAACAACGGCTTTGCTTGATGACGACGTGGAGGAACGCGGAATGATGGGAACTGTTGTTTTCAACTCCACCGTGGATAAATCAGTCAGACGGGAATCGAAAATTAGTTGTCATGGATGAGGTAAAGTTCGATTTCTATAAATGTTGCGTTTAATGACATGCTTGTTTTTCATTAAACTGAAATAACCGCAAGAAAAGTAAGGTTTAAAAGTAAATTAGTTATCACAGATAACTATGGTATGGTGGAGAGGGTTTGAAGGGGCATTCAGGTCTCTTGCAAGAAGTTGACGTGGCTGGTCCTCCTTTTTGATAACTTTATAAAAATAAAAAAATCTATTTAATGTACATTTGACACATCTTTTCATGTCGTGTAAGTATTCAACCACAGCTACAGTTTCACAAAATTAATGTTAAGGTGGTTGCACACTGGACGAGAAGCTCAGCGCCGCTTCGCGCCACATCTTTAAAATTCGAACATATTATTCTCTATAAGTGTACACATACCGGCGGCGCCATTCGCCGTCTGTCCGCAGCACCCAGCAACGGCTCAGGACTGTGTTCAAAATCCTGCTGCGCCACAGAGCGCCATTTACATAGTTTTATATAAAATTGTAATTATTTTTGTCTCAAATCGTTGCTAATGGATCCTGACTTCGCCCTATGCTGCAATATGCATTTAGTTTTGGATTAATTTACTGAAATCAGCTGCTTGAATGACAATTACTGATGTTATTAGATTTTTCATGTGAGATTCTCAATTCATTCAGTTAACGGATGCTCTGAGGTAAAGTTTTCAGAATGCAGACTCAGCAACGATTGTATTTAATTGTACAGTACAATCATAACATAGAACAGACATTATCTTCCTTTCATGTCATTAAACATAACAATATTGCTGGCCATACACTGATGAGAAAGTGCACGTCCGGTGTGCGATACCTGGAGTTGTAACGGGATTTGGTTGACCCGTTCGTTGACGTTTGCGTTTATGAGACTTGTCTTTGTCGACAGAACCAGGTGCAATCGCTAAAGAATAATTGTGCTCCATTCCATAACAAATGCGCGAAACAAGCTGACGTTTGTTGCTTGATAGCGCACAACTACAACTTCCACATTTGTCCAGGACTACACGCAGTACGAGCGGAAACCGAGGTAATGCGGATATGACGCGATTGACTGGCGACATTTGGAATATTGTAAGTCATCATCTTAACTAAATATATAACACTGGCCTTGTGATTTTGGGATATTTTAATGCAAAAATCTTAGGTATTCCACCTTTAAACTTTATAGCCTTCTTTTACATTGTTGCTGCTTTTCGCCATTAGGCTAAACAAGCTGCAGCTACTTGAATCCCAGTGCAGGAGCTGTGGGTTATCAGAGATAAGTGGTTAGTTGATTGCTCTAATGACTCGCGAGTGCGAACAGCACTGAATATGCACTTTTGCCAGTGCAACATGAATATAATTATTATCATAAACTTTTCATTAATTTCGGTAGACTGTACTACAAGGGAATTGTGACTGGCAGATTTTCTGCAGAGAGCCGATTGAGCCTCTATTGATGTGTCTTATTTTTTTATCGCTCGTTTGTTGGTAAAGGGTGAGAGACCTTGGGAGCCACATGATTTTTGCCAATGCGCCAGGTGTGGCTTGCGAGCCATAGGTTCCCAACCGCTGCTTTAGAGGGTTGTTAGGCAGAGAACTATGCACCCAAGAGCTCAGTGCACTTACATTAACAAGTTGTCAGGCTCTGAGAGCCTGAGCCTATATTGATGTATAGATCCTGGATAGCCCTCTTGGGAGATCTTGGGACCCCGTGTAGAGTCTTTACTTTCCAGGATTGTTGTCTCTGGATTCTGGTGTGAAGTGGTATTGTCTCTAATAATGAAATCCCTTCTCGTTGGGGGCCTCTGTGTTAGTACTAAATCTAGAGATTCTGCTTAGGCAAAACCAGGTGCCCTTTTATACTCATGTCACACTGGTAATGAAATCATAGGCTGTCGCTGTCAATTGTCGCATTTAGATACCACGTGCTTTTGCCACCAGTCATGTCGGAAGCATTTCCCATTGTGTTCTCTAGAGGACGCAGTGTCTCGTCCCCTTTCACAGGGAACCATGGTTACATGAGTAACCTGTGGCGTTTTCTATTCTACCTTTCCCCTTCTCCATCCTTTACTTTTTCAGCACTCCTAAATAAGTTGACTGTACCATTAAAGGTTGGTAAGGGGCAGGAATGATATTTGATTAAATACAGAAAAAAAATTAATGAAATGATTTTCTCTAAATTGCAGACACCGATTTAATAAGTGTCTTATCTACACAGGATAGAGCATTATAGTTGTGATCCACAGTGACATCTGTTCTTTTATGTAATTGTAAATACCTTTGCCAGCATAGGAACCTATACTCAGCTGTATTCATCATAGCTGAAACCTCAGCTGTATTCAGTACAAGTGAATATAGCCATGAACATGTATTATTTTGTTTTACCTTGACACTGATTTATTGATACTAGACTTTTAAGGCAGTTTATATAAGCAGAGATGACATTTCTAAAAATAGCATTCATGTAAAATTATAGTTCATGGGAAACATTATCTTTACACAAATTACTATTTAATTACCGTGTGTGACACATTAGATATGTGTGACATTATCTTTTTAAATAAGCTATTTTTGTTATTTTCGTTAAGATGATTTTGTCCATCGCATATGATGAAACACATTAATATTGCTACAAGCACTATTAGATATGTTCCTTTTTTTCTTGTATAATAATTCCTAATAAAAAATCTTCCTTTCACTTCCCTTTTTTATTTTGCTTTTTACAAAAAAAAAAAAAGAGGATCAAACTAGTTGTGAATGTGTACCTAGATTACTGAAAATGTCGCACCATAGTGGTAGCAGTGTTAGTGGAGGGGTCGCATGTGTCTGCTGTCATTTTTTCAATGGATAACATTTGCTTTGAAGTACATTAAAAAGACAAGGAGGAAACCTAGAATAAGTCTTAGTATGCTGGCTCAAAATGTAAAATATTTTTCACAACTGAAAGAAGATTGTGTGTGTGTGTGTGTGTGTGTGTGTGTGTGTGTGTGTGTGTGTGTGTGTGTGTGTGTGTGTGTGTGTGTGTGTGTGCGTGCACGCATGTGCGTGTGTGTCATCTTCCAGTGTGTCCCAACCAGCTGTAATTCAACAAGTTTCCAGCATCAAGTATTTTTTCTGTTCTCTCTAAATGTGTAATACTGCACAAATATATTTCTATTTGAGAATATATTTGTGCAGAGCGGATTGTTTGTAAAATAAAAATTTAGATTTAAATTGAGAAATCGTATTAGGATTTATCCAGGACTGTTCTGCTGGATTTGCGAAAGAAACTACAAATGTTTTTGTTTTCTGTACATTTTGTAGTATTCTTTCCAAAGTATGTAAGGAAAATATAAGGAAATTGTAGAGACATGCAGATTTTATGCATCCCTGACACCCTCCCTCCATCACTTTCCCTTAGCTAAACCATAACCATAACGAACAATTCTATGAACAGCCACAACGGTCCACCACCATTCCTGGGATTTTGCCATGGATTATCTGCTGTTTGTCATTGAAGTAGAGCATGTTTATTGGCGACATCTTTGTGGGTGTGCAGCATGGCCCTGCTGAGCCTCTGGGATTAGCATGCTGCACCAGATGAGTATGTGGGTACTTCTGCATGAACATGTACTCACACTGGCCTGAGCAGTAGTTTGCCTTGTACCGTTTAGGTGCAATGATCCAGTCCCAGCCAAAAGCTTCAAAGTCAACTGTGAGCGGGTAGCGACAACAGCGGGATTCTGTGGAGTGTTCATCACAGTCAAGACCCAGATTCCTTCGTGATCGCTTGGTGGTTTCAAGAACCTTGACCTCCAGGAACGGCTGCTGGAGATTAGGGGAGGAAGAAGACATGCAGAAATGAGTCAAGCCGCTGGGACAAAAAAAATGGAAAGTTTTACATGAATGGTTGTAACTCCAAAACTTTTTTGAAACGATTTAGTCCATTTAAATTCGAATCAGGTTTTATCAGCACTTCAGCCTCTTCAGCATTTGAATCAGTACTTTGCACCTTGTATAAACAGGAGACTTAAATGTATGTCAATGACTGCTTTTGATCAGAACGTGTGATGATATTTACGAACTATCACTGAACTATTACATTTCAGTATTTTCCTCACAAAATGGATTTATATAGCTTCAGAATAATTAGAAAAAATGAGCAGATGTATGGACAAATTTTATTGTGGTTATTGTCTTTTTTAGAGTTTAGTTATAAATCACCATCATCTCCTCTTGCATCCTTGTTATGGAAAATAGAAATGAATGAAATTAAACATACTTTATTGTCCCTAGTGGGAAAATTTGGTGTGGATTCCGTATTTAATGTTTTAACATCACCTGTTACTCTTAAAATAATCCTAAAATACATTACACCACAATACAGACACAGAACACCCTTATAGGGAAAAATCACTTGTCCTTATTTAACAATTTGATTGATACAGGCACAAACGAGTATTCTTCCAAAAAAAAAAAATTTTAACTTCTGAAATAAGAAAACTAGAAGAATGATTAGGAATGCCAAAGCTGTCATTTATTTTCATGGGTGATTCTCTGATGAACAAAAATGTTAAGATTACAACATTTTCTCTGTAACAGAAATCGTCTCAGACCTTTGTAACCTTGGAACGAGACGCTGCGTTTGAGAAGTGGTGGGAATGCCAAATAGGTGAGGTCATGGACCAGGAAACTATAAAGCATCCCTGAAATCAGACTGCGACAGCTTTTGGAAGGCCTGAAGCAAGTCGATCAGGGCATTCAAAAAGTATGGGAACTACTTCTGCTTCCTTTCAAGGGAACTCGAGCTGCGTTTGAGACGTGGTAGGAACCCCATACCCACTATGCTATAGTGACCAATGTCTGTTCTGTGTGAAGTTCTTGCGCACACTTCTTAGCAAGCAACCTAGCCCCTGGAGTGGAGAGGTCTAGGTCATAAAACCTGACAAATGGATGCGGAGAGGAGCAGTCTGCCGCATTACAAATGTCAAGAAGGGAAACACCTGAAATTAAAGCCATAGAGCCCACCATACTCCTCGTAGAATAGGCCCGCAGAGCCATATGTGAAGGCTGTCCGGCCGCTTCATGAGCCAATGAGATAGCCTCAACTATCCATTTGCTCATTACCTATTTAGATGCAGGGCACCCTCTCTTGAGTGACCCAAAGCAGACAAATAACTGCTCAGACTTACGCCACAGGGCAGCTCTGTGAACGTAGGCATCCAATGGCTGAACTGGACATAACAGATTAAGTTGTTTGGCTCGAAGGGAGCCAAAGCCAGACCCTCAAGTACAATGGCCAAATCCCAAACCGGTGGTCTAGAGTGCAGTGCAGGTCTCAACCTCAATGTACCAAGGAGAAAACAAGTAATTAGAGGATGTCTCCCAATAGAATTACCCCCCAGAGGGGTGTGGTAGGCCGATATAGCCGCCACATCAACCTTTAAGGTAGAAGGAGATAACCAGCAGAGAAACGGTCTTAAAAAGAAATCAAGAACTGTACCAACAGGGCAGTTAACAGGATCTAGGTGACGTTCACCACACCAGGTGGAGAATAATATCCATTTCAATGCATATAGTTTTCTCATGGAAGGAGCTCTGGATTGGAGAATGGTCTCAAAGACCTCAGTTGAGAGACCGGATTCTGTGAGCCGGGTCCCCTCAGAGGCCAGGCCCAGAGTTTCTACAAATCTGGACGAGGGTGAAATATCATGCCCCCTGCTTGGGACAGCAGGTCCCTCCTGAGCGGAATCTCCATGGGAGAGCCGTCCAGAAGGGGCACTAAGTCCGAGAACCAAACTCGGGTCGGACAGTAAAGGTAGTAGCAGACGGGCCCCTACCCGCCGAACCCTCACCAGAACCCCCGGAAGCATGTATATATAGAACGTACAGATGCAGCCTTAGCCACACCTGCACCATAGCACCTTGCTCAAGAGGAGCTGGGTGCATCAGGGAGAACCACATGGTACAATGGGTTGAATCTGATGATACGAAAAGGTCGACTTGAGCTTGACCAAACTTCTCCCAAAGGAGCTCCACAACCTCCGGGTGAAGTCTTCATTCCCCAAGCCTCAGCCCCTGTCTCGACGGGATATCCGCTACCACATTCTGATGTCCCGGAATATATACTGCCCTGAGTGACAGCAATTTCCCATGGGCCTGCTTGCAAAGGTGACGTGACCTCAGACCCCCATGATGGTTTATATAGGAAACCACCGATGTGTTGTCTGAGCGGACCAACACATGAACGGCCCCTCAGGTCTGGCAGGAAGGATTTGAGAGCTCGAAATACCGCCATCATCTCCAAATGATTTATGTGCCAGGAACATTGATGGTCCTGCCAAAGACCTTGCACCGAGCGGCCACTCATGACCCCCCCCCCCCCCCAATCCCGTGAGGGAAGTATCCGTCGATACCATGACGCGACGACAAGAAGCCCCCAGCACTGGGCCCCCAACCTTGGGCGAGGAACCAAGGTTTCTTCCACATGAGCAAGGCACTTAGTCATTGCCGCGTGACCTTGATCTTGCGGAATGGATTTCCCCTTGGAGAAAACCCCTTGGTTCTGAGCCACAAAGTGATTACGTTGAAACTGTTTTACAGTGAGTGACTGGTCTAGTTTTACATTCTTTATGGCTGTGAGAATCGCAGAAATACGTGCAGGAGACAGATGAGCTTGCATTGTGGTCAAATCCCATATTACACCTACAGTAGGTAGACAACCAGAATGTGGTTTTTACCGCCGCAGGTTTGCCGCGGCGGTAAAAGTTGAGGTGTATTTGCTGCCTTTGGCCGCTAAGAGGCGCTACAATCACAGACTTTGAAAAGTGTCCGTTTTTTGTGTAATCTTCAGCTGCGCTGCGGCTCTTTCAGAGCGATTGAAAGATGATAGCAGATTAATTCAAGTGAAACGTTGTTAAATTAATTAATTAATCACAATACTGAAATTAAATTGAAAAGATAATGAAACCTTAAAACATTGCAGTCGAAACATATTAGGTACATCAATGAGGCTTTACAATCGTATAAGACAACATTGCGATAGCTGTGTGGTTAACACATCATCCTCAACCTTGCGATAGCTGTCTGGTTAACGCATCATCCTCAACCTCATCGACTTCCAAACGACGCGAGATCGAACCTCGTTACATGCTGTTGGCCGACAGCTTTTATGTTTTAGCCTACCGTTCTTGAAGCTTAAATAGATAGCTGTTTATTAGCGAGTTTATTAACTGTTTATTTAGGCCTACTTATAGTGTCCGACTTAATTTGCCACTTCTCATTGAGAGCTGAGGTAGCAGATAAATTCAAGGTTAACACTCTAGCCTGTAAGGGGTGGGACATGTCCCTTTTTGACAGTGTCGATATTGTCCCCACCACTTTTGAAAGCTAACCGCATTCGTTTCATTCATCTAGCGCTGCAATGTGTTGTCTTCAATCGGACGCACGCTGCAATCAGTTGTGGAGGTTTCATTCGTTCCGGTGAAATCACAAATCAATCCGTCCCCTCAGTTTATAAACTGTAGGCTACTCACGGATTCTTAAACTGTTCCCTCGGTTTAACAATTCGTGCCTACGGATTCATAAACCATACCCACGAGTTCCTAATCCGTGTTCTCAGATTTGTAAACCGTTTGTAAATCTGTACCCACAAATTCATAAACTGTGCCCACGCTTTCGCAATCCGTACTCGCGGGTTTGTGGCTCGTCCCCGAGAATGTGCCGCATGATTCAAACAGGCCTCCTGTTTAGATGCGGGATGCATTGTTTTTAAAAGGACTCTTACTTACAAAAAAATAAATAAATAAATATAGCCTAACACAAACACAAAGTTATAGGCCTATACAAATAAAACATTCATAAATTGTTTTATGATTAACATATTCCTTTTTTAAGTGAACTCATTTAAAGTTATAAACGCAAATAATAGGCCTAATAATAATATGCTATTATTATTACATTTAGGCTACATAGGCCTACTGCATTTAGATAGGCCTATAAGACGCTTTTATCAAAAAAAGAAAAAAGAAAAAAAGAAACAAAGCAATTCGTCAAATGTCAGTCATAATACAGGTTAGACAATAATAAAACAGGGCTGAGATTATCACAAATAGGCCTAAACACAAGATTTTGACGCATAGGCTATCCAAATGTTTGTGCACAAAAAAATAAATAACATTGACTTTTTGCCTTTATTAAACATTTAAAATATTCGCAAATTAATATGAAAAAAAATAGATTTTACTTTCTAAAAACTATATTTTGCAGTGCTAAATGAGAAGAGCATGTCTCGGGAAGCATAGAGTGAGATGATTTATAGGTGATTTATAGGCTAATCATAATAAATGTGTCTGAAAAATAACGACGTTTTCTTGTTATTGTGAGTTTACACAAATAAAAGTAGTTGCAAATAATTACGTATTTTTTTCCCGCTAGATTATTTTAAATTGTTCCACTGTTGATAACATGCAAGTGTTTGCGGCCGCGGCAGTGACATGCATGTGCGCGCTTCACACAAACAGTTGGATATGCTTAAAAACCTGTTTGTTTGTTAGAATCTTAGCCCATTATTATTGTCTAAGACTGACATTTGACGAATTGCTTTGTTCTTTTTTTGTGGATTAAAAAGCGTCTTCTAAATAGGGTAGCCTAAATGCATTTTGATTTGTTAGCTAATTATTATTTACGTTTATTACTATGAATGAGTTCACCGAAGACAGTAATATATTTAACATAAAATAATTTTAAACTTATAAACAAACCTTTTGCAGTTTTTGAACTGTGTGTTATTATTAGCCTATTTTATTTTTATTTTTTCGCTTATTATA